CCCCCTTCTCTCTCTCTCAACTCTCCGGTCATGACAAATTCATCGGGCACAGAGGGGTGCCGGGTGGGTCGGGTCGGGTTGGGTCGGACCGGGCAGGAGTTCCGCTGCCTCCAGAGTGGTTTCCAGTTTCCAGTTTCCAGTAGAGTCCTCCAGAACGCACCGCGGCGATGGTGGGACTGGGCTAGGAGAGAGGACAAGCCTGGAGCTGGACTGGTAACGACTTTGCTATCCACCCCACCCATCCCCCTGCTCCATCCAAGACGATAGATGGCGCAAGAATGCCCGTTTCTTTTTCCTTCTTCACTTCCTTTGGGACACGCGCTCCCGATCCGCGCCGCAACCTCGGCAAGCGGAAAAGGTTGGGCGGCGAAAATAGCATTATTGACTTGTAGGGTATTTCCATTTATGGCATGGCGATGCACGAGGCACGTCAACTGGGGGTGTCAGGGCAGGGCGGAGAGCAACCCCCCCGCCCCCGCCCTCCTCCCTTTTTATGGCGACCCTGTTGATTGCTTTGACGGACTACCCACACCCATTCACTCTATTTGCCTTTTTTCAATTCGATCACGTCCTCTATCAACTTCGTCAACATTATCTTTAGCACTACATCATCAAATAATTATACTGTAGTTTAGACTGTCAAGTGGGGAGAAAAATTCAAAAAAAAATTATAAGACAGCACACTTGATTGGTCAAGGGGACTAGTCAGCTACCTTGGCTGCGTAGCACAGTGGTACAATGCTATGCAGCGTGCTTCATTTTATATAAAACGTATACCACATTGATAGCAAGTTCGATATTTTTGTACACTCTGATGTTTATCATCTATTAAAACAAGTACACTTGACATAATCTCAAAGGATAACAACTCCTAGGAGAGGAAAGCAAAGTTTTCAATGCATGTTTGCTTAGTGATGACTAAAACCTGACAAGCAAACATCTCAAGTAAGCCTTCACAAATGTTATCATGCATCTCATGTTTCCTCAAAGCTCAGAGCAATATAACACCTACTTCCCAAGCTCACAATAGAAAATATGTGTTGAGATATTTCACTTTACTATATTTAGCATGATAAAGAAACAGTATTCACCAAAACTCAAGATATTTAAAACTTTGAACGACCCAAAGTAAGGTTAGAAATTGGCTAACGGCCAGCACCTGTCAAATTCTGTCAGTTTCTTCCACAGAGGAGAGGAACATGAGAGAAATCGTATGTGTTTAAATGAATTTTCTAGTAAACATAATATCCCTTCGCTTACTGGCGGCAATGTACTCATGAATACAGGGGAAGAGAAGAAGGTACGGAGCCTGGGTCATTCCGTAATGAGCATTGATCCCCGGGATACCTAGAGGGGGTTTTTAGGCTCCACTTCAATAACCCAAGAAATACTTCACATAATAATTGTTGGTACAGTCAACCCAGCAGATTAGACATCTAAAACTACTGTAAGATCTGGCAATTCCACTTACCAAACACAGAAAAATTTCATTCTTTGTAGCGCAGACCCAACGGAAATTCACAGATCTTCTCGCGCACCGTGGCTGAGCCAGGCTAGACACCTATAAAAACAAACAGACGATTCTCAGTTGAGCAGACGACGTTTCCACATTTTGCTTGAAACTGGATGAAAATGGGTTTTTAACTAAATTAAATTCAAAGGAAAAATGTTTGATGGGAACGTTTACAAATTTTTCAAAGAGCAGGCCGTTAAAAAACTGAAAACGGTTCCCGTTTTGGTTCACATAGTACTCACCACCGTACATGCGCAAAAGAAAGATTACTTTTTAATTTCACGAGCCAAAGACCATTTTATGGTTGTATTTCAACAAAAAATGAAACACAGCGCTTTCTTTACATTTTAACAGCACGAGCTGTCACTGCAGAAGGAAAATATTACCCTCAGAAATAATTTGGAACGAAGAGCGGGCCAATAACGTTTACCTGGTTTTTCGCAGCATCCCACTTTTTCACAAATGGTATGTTTCACCTTCTAAATTTCAGATTTTAATAGGTGAGAGTAGTGTATACAGTGTCTTCAAAAAAGCTGTACACATCATTGAATTATTCTCTGAGGAGTTTCAAAACTATATTCTTGTGCATTTCTTTTTTTGCAGTTGGTCCTCATTCATGCTATTTGCAGTATAGTTTGGGTATAGTACATTTCATGAAGATTCAAGTTGTTTCGACATGTTTTCGTTTTAGTTAAAGTCGTCACTTTCGTCGAAGAAATAATCATGGAGGAAGTTCGAAAGCTAGAGCACCTCTCTCTTGTATCAAAAATATGTACAGAATTAGAAAATCATTTAGGTCTTAATGACAAAGACTTAGGTAAGTCAATGTCTTACCCTAAATTCCCAAACAAGGTTATGTTTATTGTATCTGTCATCTTTTGCTGCCACTATCACGGTTTCATTACATTATTTGAGTAAATGATTGGTTGACACTGTTTTTAAATTTGATGATAGCTCTCTACCAATACCCACATTGTTCTACTTGCTGCTACACATCCGTGCCATTAATCATACTGTCCTCTTGTTTCCAGCTGAATTTATCATTTCATTGTCAGAAAAAAATAATACTTTTGAATCATTCAAAAAAGTCCTTGATGAAAATGGTGCCGAGTTCTCTGTAAGCTTACAACAATCTTTTCATTATATGATTTGAATTTTACACTCAAACTGCTTCAATCTCTTTCACATACATGTTGTTGTTACAGGACTCATTCGTCAGTAATCTATTGCGAATCATACAACATATGAAACCAGCCACATTATCTGACTCAGGTTCTAATAAGCCAGAACCGAAGAACAAGCAGGATAAACTTGCTATGAAATTCCCTGGCCTAGCACTCCCAAATGATTTTGATAAGGATCTTGACGAGAAGGTTAAAGAAGAGTCAGAGTCAAAAATGAAGAAAAGATCACACAAAGATCGTGACATCAAAGATGTCAAACCTAGAGTTAAGTCTGAAACAAATGTCAAAGTTGAAACTGATGTCATTGATGACGCCATGGCTGAATTAGAAGCTTTAGCCCCATCACAAGCTGGGTATGTTTTGCCAATCATGTATTTTTCTTTCGTGCTTGGTTATTGTTACCAGCATTTAAATGTTTTTAATTTTTCTTTCTATTTGTTCAGGCCGAGCACTCAAATTACAGGATCAGGTGAAGGAACAAGAAATAAAGAACTAGATACAGATCGCAGAAGAGAGAGAAGTAGAAGCAAAGACAGAGAGAGGCGGCATCGGAGTAGGAGCAGAGACAGACGCTCACGCAGCCGAGACAGGGACAGGCGGAGGAGCAGGAGCAGGGATGGGAGACGAAGGAGCAGGAGCAGAGATGGCAGAAGACGAAGCAGAAGCAGGGATCGCAAACAAAGAGATAGAAGGAGTAGAAGTAAAGATAGGAAAAGAGATAGGAGCCGTGACAGGAGAAGGGACAGAAGCAGAGACCGCCATCACCGGGACAAGGACAAGAGAAGAGGTTCATTCGATGAGAATCCTGATGAAGATATGGATGCTAATGAACCCGAATTAGGAAAAGTAAGAACTGCCCCTATTCCTTTGTAGTTCATGAAATGTTACTTAAAATTAATTAAGATTCTCATTAATATATGGTGACTTTTTTACAGATCTACGTGGGAAAAGTTGCCAACATTGTTTCATTTGGATGTTTTGTTCAAATTGAGGGTCTTCGTCGGCGCTGGGAAGGCTTGGTGCACATATCACAATTGAGAAGAGAAGGACGGGTTACTAATGTTCAAGAAGTTGTTCAGAGAGGTGAGAAAGTAAGAGTGAAAGTTACTAAAGTAACTGGACCCAAAATTTCTCTATCAATGAAAGATGTTGACCAAGACACTGGAGAGGACTTGAATCCAGCCATATCAAATCCTGTTAACAGAGTGTAAGTAGGACCCGTATATTCTTCTCTGCATATTTTTGTCTTTCATTTTCTTTATTAATCGCTACATTCCTGATTCCTTCATGTTTCATAGTGACTCAAGTGAAGCAATGCACCGAAACCCAGATCGCCCTACCTCCTTGTTGGAATTGCAAGGCGATATAGAAGATGACGAAAATCACAGTAGAAAGAGAGTTAATAGAATTTCATCCCCAGAAAAATGGGAAATAAAGCAGGTGAGTTTTAAACTAACCCATTAACAACATTATTAATTGTATCTGCCAATGTGCCATGGCATTCAATTGTTATCTTGCATTATCAGATGATGTCAGCTGCCTGCATTGATAAATCTGAGCTTCCTGACTTTGATGATGAAACTGGACTTCTCCCTAAAGAAGATGATGAGGAAGAGGATATAGAAATTGAGATTGTGGAAGATGAGCCACCATTCCTTCAAGGACATGGAAGGATGCTACATGATTTATCTCCTGTTAGGATAGTTAAAAATCCTGACGGCTCCTTGGCACAGGTAATATACCACAACTTAAACATTCCACTGGCTATGGATAATTTATAATTGTTGATGCATGTTATGACGTTATCTGTTTTTAGGCTGCCATGATGCAAAGCGCTCTTGCTAAAGAGAGGCGTGAAGTGAAAATGATTCAAAGAGAACAAGAAATGGATGCAGTACCAGCTGGACTAAATAAAAATTGGATCGATCCATTACCTGAGGGTACGTTTTTTCAACATAAAGTTCTTTAGCGTGCTTTCAAAAAAAAAAGAAAAACTAAGTCTCAATTTTAACTGGTTCTTATTTTTCTACTTTTTAATAGCTGATGGGAGAGCTCTTGCTGCCAATATGCGAGGCATAGGGGCTACTGTCCAAGACTTGCCAGAGTGGAAGAAACATGTCATAGGAGGCCGAAAGAGTTCCTTTGGAAAGAAAACAAACATGAGCCTGCTTGAACAGCGTCAAAGCCTTCCTATTTATAAACTGAAGGATGCCCTTGCAAAGGTACGTTTGTAAAGGAAATTTTTCAACTAATATTGCTGGTTTTATAATAGCATTTGATTTAACAACTGGAAACTTTTCTTATAACAGGCGGTAAATGACAACCAAATTTTGATAGTCATTGGAGAAACAGGATCAGGAAAAACAACACAAATAACACAATATCTAGCCGAAGCAGGGTTTACCTCCAGAGGTAAAATTGGCTGTACTCAACCTCGACGTGTTGCAGCTATGTCTGTGGCAAAAAGAGTAGCTGAAGAGTTTGGTTGCCGTCTTGGTCAAGAAGTCGGATATACCATTCGATTTGAAGACTGTACAAGTCCTGAAACTGTCATCAAGTAAGTATTCTATCTGTAAAATAAAAATGTAAGCTGTCATTTTAATATGCCAGTTTGAATTTCTATATGCTAATGAATATTTTTTATTCTCTCAAGGTACATGACTGATGGAATGTTACTACGAGAATGTTTAATTGATTTGGACTTGAAGTACTACTCAGTTATTATGTTGGATGAGGCTCATGAGCGCACCATTCACACTGATGTTTTATTTGGTGAGTTTTGATGACTATGTTTTCCCTTTGATTTGTTTCCAATATTAGTATTACACAGTAGTATTTAAGCAACAAATACCACAGTTGCTGTACTCCAGTCTCCAGCATTATGTTTTCTGTTTTGTAAACCCTTTTTTATGTGTCTTTTTTACAGGGCTTTTGAAGCAAGCTGTCAAGAAAAGGCCAGAACTGAAATTAATTGTCACTTCAGCCACTCTGGATGCCTGTAAATTTTCACAATATTTCTATGAGGCTCCAATTTTTACAATCCCTGGTCGCACATTCCCTGTAGAAGTTTTGTACACTAAGGAACCTGAAACAGATTATCTTGATGCCTCTCTCATTACTGTGATGCAAATCCATTTACGTGAACCGCCAGGTATGACTTTGCTTTTGGTATTAATTAGATTTGTGTAATAAATTACATGTGCTTTCATGGCTTTTCAACCATAATTTTGAAAACTAGGCTCAACCTGGATTTATGGTCAATTTTAAATCTATATTTGTTTGATAGGTGACATTTTACTGTTCTTGACTGGGCAAGAGGAAATTGACACAGCATGTGAAATACTCTTCGAGCGCATGAAAAGTTTGGGACCTGAAGTTCCTGAATTGATTATTCTTCCAGTTTACTCTGCTTTGCCTAGTGAAATGCAAACTCGTATCTTTGATCCTGCTCCTCCAGGTTCTCGTAAAGTAAGTTATCATAGTTGTATCTTATGCAATTACAGTTGCTTTTCTTGGTAAATGTATCCCATTAGCGTGTATAGTTGTATTTACAATAGTGCTTTTGTATTTCAGGTTGTAATTGCAACAAATATTGCAGAGACATCTCTGACCATAGATGGCATCTATTATGTAGTTGACCCTGGGTTTGTAAAGCAGAAGGTTTACAACTCAAAAACTGGTATGGATTCTCTTGTTGTTACTCCTATCTCTCAGGTAAGCTAGAATTCTCCTGCGCTATACTTCCCTTATGAAATCCCAGAATTGTTTTTAAACAGTTATGTTGTTCTACTATAGGCTCAAGCCAAACAACGAGCAGGTCGAGCAGGACGTACAGGTCCGGGAAAAACGTATCGTTTGTACACTGAACGAGCATACCGTGATGAGATGCTGCCCACTCCCGTTCCAGAAATTCAACGGACAAATCTGGCAACTACTGTAAGATTATTTTTCAACCAATAATATGCCAATATTTTTTCCATTGTAAAGCTAATCAATTTGGTTTTATTATTTTAATAGGTCCTGCAATTGAAAACTATGGGTATCAACGATCTTTTACATTTTGATTTTATGGATGCCCCACCTGTAGAATCACTTATAATGGCTTTAGAACTACTGCATTCTCTCAGTGCACTTGACAGTGAGGGCCTATTAACCAGGCTGGGAAGAAGGGTATGAATGGAACATGTCAATTCTCCTCCCTCTATAACAGCACTTTCAAATTCATCACTCATATTTTGTGTTGTTTTTAATTTTCAGATGGCAGAGTTCCCCTTAGAGCCCAACCTGTCCAAAATGCTCATCATGTCAGTGCACCTCCAATGTTCTGATGAAGTTCTGACTATAGTTTCTATGTTGTCTGTTCAAAATGTCTTCTACAGGTAAGTGCTTTTCAGTACTGATCGCAGTTACTATGTACTTCAGATTTCCTTTTCTTATTGTGCTTTGAATGTTCAATCAGGCCCAAGGACAAGCAGGCACTAGCTGATCAAAAGAAGGCTAAATTTAACCAAGCTGAAGGGGATCATTTAACCCTATTATCGGTATACAACTCTTGGAAAAACAACAAGTTTTCAAATGCCTGGTGCTATGAAAATTTTGTACAAATTCGGACTTTGAAACGTGCTCAAGATGTCCGCAAGCAGCTTCTAGGAATAATGGACAGGTAATGTAGAATATGAACTTTTCCTTTTGAATAATGAGGTGTTCTAGTCAGGACATGAAGTTAATGTTATCCTAATTTTACAGGCATAAGCTTGATGTTGTCTCTGCTGGAAAGAATACAGTTCGAGTACAGAAGACAGTTTGTTCTGGTTTCTTCCGAAATGCAGCAAAGAAGGATCCTCAAGAAGGATACCGCACACTTGTTGACAGTCAAGTGGTATACATCCATCCTTCCAGTGCTCTTTTTAACAGACAGCCAGAATGGTAAATTCATGATTGTAACTAGTGACTTCTCAGCTCCTTTCTGTTTACTAATTGACTAATAATCTGTGTCTATTTTTCAGGGTTGTGTACCATGAGTTAGTTCAAACAACAAAGGAGTATATGCGTGAAGTGACTACCATTGATCCTAAGTGGCTTGTAGAATTTGCTCCAGCTTTCTTCAAATTTTCTGATCCGACTAAACTAAGCAAATTCAAGAAGAACCAACGCTTGGAGCCATTATACAACAAATATGAAGAACCCAACGCATGGCGTATCTCTAGAGTTAGACGGCGCAGGAATTAGTTGATCGTTGTGTCAATAGGTACCACATTGTAAATAAAATGATTAAATTATGAATTTTTAAGGACATTGAAAATTTAATTTTCAGAAAAATTAAAATTATGGTTTTGTAAGACAAGGATTTTTATTTCATGATTTACCTTGCAGTCAAAAACACTTGAGGTCACAAACTGAAAACGCAATTACCATACATTAAGAATTTACACATTTTGTTATTTCAGTGCTCATGATTTAAAACAAACTAGCCTCTTAACAGGAAATCAGAGTATTATTGTACTGCTCAGATAGGAAAATTCATTGACTAAGCAGCACTGTGACTGTACTGGCAATTGTACAAAGATACAAATTTTAACAATTGGTTAACATTACTACTTCATAACTGAACACAAAGACTGTTTTCCATTTATAAAAGATCTAAGACAAAAAGGACACTAGAACAAAGAGGTAGGATAAGAATGCATAGTCAATTACAATAAAATATGAGAATACCACAGATGAAAGAAGGGACAAGAATGTCATACAAATCAGGCATTATGGTTACATAAACCAGATGTCTATATACTAGGTATAGCCAATGATCAACAAACTACCAGCTAGGGGGAAAGAAAGAGTACTTCTTGCAAAACACAAGAGCTATAGAATTATGTTATTTTGTGGTTTTGGTTTAAAAAAAAAATTATAACTGTTTTTAGGAATATGTGTGACTGGCACTTCTATATAAGCTACAGCCTACTAAAACAACGGTTGTACTTGGTGCTTGAGTCTGTAGAAGTCAATCAATTAAAGCACAGATGCCTACGCCAATACATTAATTTCAGGTACACTATTTCATTTATTGCTTAAATGTAATGCAAGCTCTTTTCATTTCCTCAAAACAAGAAAATTTTCATGATTGCCATTTTGCTCTAGCCATCTATCACATAAAGATCATCAAAAAGATAAGGTAGCATTCACAATTGGTGTTTAACTATGGTACAAAAATATTTCCTGCTACTCACATACAATATACCATACCAATTTCAATTATTCCAGAAATCATGAGAAAGTGCAGTAGATACAAGACTGTAACAACACTCAACACTACTACTACTTGAATACCTACACACATGAAATATGTTTCCCCAATAATGCAAGAAGTAGGAGAGAAACATCAACATTACTTGCTCTGCACCAACTGCCTATATTGAGAACATGATTTACCATCAAAAGTAAGCTCCCCAAAAATCTTTACAAGATCATTGTAACTTTTATAAAATAATAGAGAAGGGTATTCTACAGTTCAACAACACTTTGATAAATAAAAAAGAAAGGGGGTGTGGGAAGACAAGCCCCTAATCATACTACACACATGAAATAGCTGGAGATTGGACAATGTCTTTGTGTCTTGATCTTCTCTTTCCACAATCTGTCAGTAAATATAAGTCCTACTTATTCTAACTCATCAATTTCATGCAATATTTCAGATTTGCGAGAGATTTTGTCAAGTTGGTCTTTCTCAAGTTTAGTGCCCGATGCAGCTTTTTCCTCTATAGCTTCTATTTCCCTCAACTTTTTGCGTAAATTTTTCAAGCGTTTTGCTGGGTCACTTGCTGTTTCAGTCTGAATAGGAGCTTTGGCAGCTGGTGCTGGTTTGCTGACGGGCTTTGGTGCTGGCTTTGCGGACTGGGAGGAAGCTACCGTGGTTGTATTTCCCTTAGCTTTAGGCGCTTCTGCTACTTGATTTCCACGTTTGTTTTTCCCCTTAGCTGTTTTCCACTCATTATCAAGTGTTGAGGCGTCAGAAGAATCTCTTAGGTGATTAGAAGAGAGCATAGCTTCAGAATTAATTGAAGTTCTTGCTAAGACATCACTTAGGTCTTCCTGTTGTCCAGCCTTCTTCTTTTTCTTTTTCTTCGCATTTTTAGCTATTAGGATACAAGTAAAAATTACAAAATATAAGATATTAGAATTTAATGTTATCATAATGATTTCAAAAGCACAAAATAGTGTTGACAAAACAATGAGGAACCACTTACCATCGCCAGGTTGAATGACTAATCCTGGAATGGGATTTCCAGCTGACTGGCCAGACTTTCTTGCTTCAGCAGCAGCAATAAGATCTGGGCTTAGTCCAATTGGATACTGTGGCTTACTATTCAGGAACATTTTGCCCTTGCTTTCATACAGGGGTACTTCTTCCTGAGGCACATAGCCATCTTTAACCTTACGCGGTTTGCGCCAAGTACCATCAGGTCGTTGTGTTGCTGGGATGAAGCGTGCTCCTGAAACGAGAGAGAGCACAGTTGCAAAACTATGAATAAAAAATCAAATTAGAACCATTGTTTGTCCTAGAAGACAAGGATGTAATAGTTAAACTAAACTAATTCCATGTATGGTTGGTCCAACGTTAGGCTCAAAATAGAAAGCATGAGGCTGTATAAGAAAGGTTTTCATGAAACTTGCTGATGTTTTACATGGAAACACTGATATTATGTTAACAAATACTGACAATACTGAGAGGGTTCGTTATAAAACAACTAAGTTAAAAAAAGATAAGAACCTGAAGGGCAACCGACTATACCATATCATATCAAGGAGGTGTACTTGTTCACAAAAGTTAGCTAAGTAAACATTATCACAATGCTTCCGTACCATCATCAGTTTTTACATATTCTGTAGGAGGGGATGACATGCTTTCTTGTGATAAATTCTTCTTGTTTCAAGTAAATATAAAGCGAGCCCCGAACAGAGCTAAGCTCCGGAGCCCCGGCTGCTGCTCCTGCTACAAAAACAACGCTTTGCGTTGGCTGTGTCGTGTCTGTAACAAAGGTCGGAAACCGAAAGGGATGCTACTTGATGCGACACAGAGGATTTTTGTGACTTTGGAGAAAATCTGACAGTGTAATCCAGTAACCAAACAATCAGCCTGAGAAAATTTTATAAACTTAAGAGAAGATTGTGGTAGTTGGTAGACATGGCCATGCCAAAGCTACCTTTTTCTTTTTAAAAAAATTGTTTTACAATTTTCATGAATTTTAAGATGAATATCTATTATTTGTGTGTCCAGAATTTTTTTTAATTTTAGTTTGGAATCGGAATGATACAGTTGAAATTCTCTCATGGCCAATTTAACATTTTCATGTGATCGCTTGATTTTCTGAAAGCACTCTACGCACACTAACGACAACTGCTAAACTGCTGACGACCCGTACAAATTATTTTAAAAGGAAAGGCCTCAATGGTAAAAAGAGGTTTATTTTTATGTACAAAATAAATTTTGTTTCGAAATTAAAATATTTTCCTTGCCGTGCGTTGTACTTTATTCAGATTGCAAGTAGATTTAACCGAAAGCAACCCGCTTTCAGTTGGCTGCATTGCACTCAATTACGTCACTGGTATTTATTTACAGTTCTAGGTTGTGCAGTCTGTTCGCCGTCGTCGTCCCGTCGCGTTGGAACAGACGATTCCTATGTTTGTTTTGTATTGCGCATTACTTACGTCGTTTTTACTCAAATTGGATTTGTTAAAACACTACAGTGTGTGTTACAGACTCTTTCCATAGCACAGATTGTTTACTTTGTTTGTCGGTTGCATCGAAGAATGATAATAAACTAGTGTTATGGGACGAAAGTCCTGAGTTAAAAGGACGCCAAGACGAACTGTGTACAATATTGTGAATAAACGATGTGCTGTTCGTGTGTTATCGTTTCTTCCGCGATTTGTTACTTAATTTTGGACAAGAAGTGTTTGTGACTGTTGGTCTCATAGGTTGACAATAACCTAAAGTTAAGTTATTCATGTATTGTTTTACATGGCAGTTTGAAGTACTTCATTAGAGGTTATTGAATGGTGACATTCAACTTTGGGAGGATTGTGAGTTTTGGATAACTCATGTGAGCTGTGAAGTTGTCACAGTGAATGGAGTTTTCATTTATGAGGCAGAACTATGCCTCAGAGTTGAACCTATAACTACAGTGGGCTGTTCCATTTCTCTGTGGAAATGAGTGACCGTGTGTTGCGATCAAGGGTTCGCAATGGACCAACCTCACTATCCCTTTCTGAAGATTGGGAGAAAGTGAGATTCAGGTGAGTTGCACCATCTTTTTATTTTTGTTCATAATTTCAGTTGCCATGTGCTAGATTAGCTGTAGTGGCTTCCACAACTTTAAATCCACCTTTTGACAGCTGCGTAGCTTTCAAGTTTGCAAACAGCAAATACCCATTGTATAGCTGCTCAGTGAGGGGATGAGTGTTTCCATCTTTCTCATGAGTCAGCCACCCTGTCTCTCTATCTCTCCTGTGCACACTGCACTCGCCTGCATCCTGCCCCGGCCCGCCCCGCCCCGGCCCGCCCTTAACCCGTCGACAATCATCAGGATTCCTATCTGCCTGCCTATATGCTCAGGGGGAAGCCCTGCGGGACGCTGCGGTTCAAACCCGTTCAAGTCATTCTCTAACATCTACTGGCCCTCCTCTCCTCTAGGTGCACACTGCACCCTGGCGCTTCCGGGCGGTTTGTCGTCGCGCACCCCCGGGCCTCTGACAACCGAAACCAGCAGCCTGACCTTGAGCGGGGCGGGGCGGGGTAGGGTGAGGGTCTAGTAGTAAACCGGTCGGCTATCGAGTTCAGCCTCGCGGCGCCACTGCCATGCACAGCGCCAAGCAGCTTTATCACTTGCTGTGGGGCACGGGCCTGCACGGCGACGACGTGTGCGTGGGCCGTGAGGGGGAGCGAAACTTCATCGGCGACCTCCCCGTCGTCGCCGTGCCCCGCCCCTGGGGCGCGCCCCTGCCCACCCACCCCCTGGAGGCCTACATTGGCGGTGCGTGGCCGTGGCTGGCCGTGGCTGGCCGTGTCAGAGGGCTATCTCTTTAAGCGAGGCTGGTCGGTCGGTCGGTTGGTCGGTTGGTCGATCGAGCGCCAGGGATACGCGAAACTCGGCGTAACAAAGCCAAATCATCTTCAAAATCGACTAACCCATACATTTTTGGAAAGGGGAAAGAACAAGGATCATTATTCTGTAAAAATATTGGTACTTTGAAGACAAATGGTGACGCAAAGAAGTATAGAATGACGATTCCGATTCAAAGTGTACACCGGCCGTTTTGGAGCCGTCATTTCTCGTGTTTAGAGACGTCCTAGACCTAGACATAAAGCGAGCCGATTGTTCGCTTGACTTTCAGCTTTTTAGTCGTCTTCTTGAAATTTCTCTACGACGCCTGGTTCTCGAGAACGAAGCGTTTTACTGAAAGCGTGCCAACACGCCCGGGCGCAGGAGCCGGCACTCCCGGCGCTACCTACCTGTCCCGGCGTGTTACGCTTTCAGTAAAACGCTTCGTTCTCGAGAACCAGGCGTCGTAGAGAAATTTCAAAAAGACGACTAAAAAGCTGAAAGTCAAGCGAACAATCGGCTCGCTTTATGTATAGGTCTAGGACGTCTCTAAACACGAGAAATGACGGCTCCAAAACGGCCGGTGTACACTTTGAATCGGAATCGTCATTCTATACTTCTTTGCGTCACCATTTGTCTTCAAAGTACCAATATTTTTACAGAATAATGATCCTTGTTCTTTCCCCTTTCCAAAAATGTATGGGTTAGTCGATTTTGAAGATGATTTGGCTTTGTTACGCCGAGTTTCGCGTATCCCTGGCGCTCGATCGACCAACCGACCAACCGACCGACCGACCAGCCTCGCTTAAAGAGATAGCCCTCAGGTCAGGGGTGTGGGGTGGTGCGTACGCGGGGGTGGCGGCCAGAGCCGGGCACGGAGGCGGCAAGCGGAGGTCCCTCGGTCGGGGGTGGTGCCGCCCCGCCACCCGCATGTGAGTCACACAGCACTCACAGCGGGAGCGAGGGTCCCGGACGCTCCCGGACCGCATTCCCTGCCCGCCTTATCTCGCTGAGGAGCCCGGCGAGAGGTAGGTCGAGACACCCAAGAGACCTGTCGGGGGGAATGTCTCGTCTGGGAAAATTGCGACATACACGACGAGGTTGTCAACAGGAAAACTTATTTTGTAAGGGAGCGGTTAAGCTCGTCGTGACCAGCTGGCAACAATAAGGGACATGATCGCCTCGTCCTCCCGGGTCCTGGTGCCCGACCCTTGGGCACCTTGGGGTAGTCGGCCCGCGGCTCTCCCTCCCCCCACCTCCTTCGCGGATATGGCTCTCTTATCGCGGATCTAAATGGCGGCCGCGCCGTGGTCAGGCGGTGCTGGGCGGCGCGGTAACAGGCAGGGCCTGCAGGCCACCATTGTGTTTTGCTTTACCCAGCCTCTTTTACTCGAACTCGATTTGCACCGCGACTCACCGCACCGCTGATTAGTCGCATGATGCTGCGTCCCCCTGAAACAAAGACGCTCCCGTTTGTTGTTGTTTTTCATGTGTGTGTGTGTTTCTTTTGTAGTTCCTCTGCCATAGGCCTATTCGATCACTTTAGTTTCACCCAGTCTCTGCGCGGTCATGATGCCGGTTTATCTGTCGCGCCGCCGCCGCCGCACAGTCGCGGGTGTCCCATCGATGCCGTCATGGCGAGGTGTACACCGCGGGCGATGCGCATGTCGTCGTCGTCTCGAAATAGCGGCTTAGCCAGCCGACCCGGCCTAGTGGGGCATCATCACTGTGACTACAACTTGCAGAGTCACGTGGTCAGTGCGGTCACAGGTCACACACGTCACACCTCCGCCGACCCACACGGAGTCAAAATGTAGACCGGGAAGAGCGACGTGGAGGGAGTCCGCGTGTCTCCCTCTGCTGCTGTCCCCCGCGGGGCGCCGGCCGGTGGCCGGTGGACCGTGTCGTGTGGCGGGCGGGGCGATATATACGGTGGACCGCGCGGGCCGCGGGTCGGGCGCCGCCGCGCGCCTCCACCTCGCGCTGTCTTGGCGCGTGTCCAGGTGTGGCGCGCGCGCGCGCGCGCTCGCGTCCCGGGTCAGCGCATCTCGCTAGACGGAACGGACCGCCCGACCACGCCGGAAGAAAAAGCGCCCACATAATCTAATCGCGGAATTATGTCAAACACTTTTACGCCCCGCTGTCGCGCTGGCCTGTCTGCGGCCGCCGCGACGGCCCTTTTATCAGCGACGCACATGTTTCGGCCGCGACAAACCCCGTGTCCTGGTGTCTCTTGTGTGAAACATTAGAGAGCAATACGTAAATTTTCATCGGGTACCATGCATCAAAATTTTTGGTCACACCCTGTTAACTGTGTGCTTCAATTTATTTCTATTCCTTTGCGTGCGGATTGTTTTATTGTTATTATTGCTCCTTTGCAACCTTGCTTCGGGCCTAGTGGAGAGGAGTTGTGGGCGAGATGCACGGCTGAATGGTGGCGGCGCATGCAAGGCCGAGCGCACGCCGAATGGTGGTACGGGTACATCAGCCGCGGCCTGGGAGCCTGGGAGTAGGAATGTAACGGCGGGGCGGGGCTGGGGGCGTCTCTCTGCTGCTCGCCGCGCCTCCTGCGTGAACGGAAGGGAGCGGGCGCGCGGGGCGTTGCTTTGGGCCCTGCCTACACTCACTCCAGAGGAGGCAGGGTCCGTTAGCTCCATACAGCCAGTGCCCTGAGCCGGTGCCGGCGGTGCAGCGCGCACGTTGGAGCTGGGAGCGGTGTTCAGACAGGCGGCTGGCTGCTGAGCGTCCTTGAGGCGCCGGCAGCAGCCAAAACACCGCACCGCGCGGGGCCCCCAGGAACAGGCGGCAGGCCGGGCCATGAGGCTGTAAAGTAGTTTGGCCGTTTTAATGACCCCGTCGACGCACAGCGCCGTGGCAGCTTCGCGGACCTCGCGGACCGCGCGGCGGCCGGCGTGCGTCTTTTGCCCCGCGGGCGCGAGCTGGGGACTGATCGTTTTATGAGTGAGTGGGAGAGAGAGAGAGCGAGGGGCGGGGCGCCCTGGCTACGCTACTGCCCCGGCTCGCGGGCTACCCACACGTGTCCGTCGTGGTCCTTGGAAAAAACTACCATCGATACATTTTACATATAAAAATAGACGACGAGTCCCTGCCTCGCTTCGGCATTTAGAGATGATCCGGCAGCGGTCGTCTTCATTCATATACAGGATGGTCCATCGGCGCTGTCCTTTTCGATGGTTATACTGTGCCGGATGCAGACGTGCGGACGGGTTGCATACTCGCACGGGGTCGTAAGGCACCTCAAGCCCCACCCACACGCCTGCATCTAGTACAGTATTATTTCCGGAAGTCCCGGGCATACCGGCCAACTGTTGTTTTTTTGGCAGAGCTTTTCGGAAAAGTACAGTAGCGCCCTTCGGAAACAACTTCTCAGTACTGTACCCACGGCGGCAGTCAGTGGTTGCTCGAATCTTGTCGTCTCATCCCAGTGGGACTCTGGTCTGGAGAGTGCTAGGGAGGCATTTAGAATTTAGAATTTAGAATTTTATTGACGACTAATACAAAAGGGCCTAGTGGCCCGCACACCGAGGCCACCGCGCACCTCCTCTTGCCCCCTGCCCTCGCCCCCTGCCCCCCTGCCCCCCTGCCCCTCCTGGTCCCCCTGGCCCACCTGGCCCGCCTGGTAACACCCGCCGCCGGCGAGCTTTTTCGCCCTCCCGTCTCTGTCTGCCTGCCGCGCGTTCCAAATTCCAGCCTTTCGCGCGCTTTCTGTCCTCTGCTGATCGCGTTGCCGTGCGTCCTCCTGCCCGCGACCATATCATCCCGGGCCGGCCGGGCGCTGGGGCGGAGGAGCGTGGCGCGTCACCGATTCAATTAGAGACGAGTCCGGCAGCGCTGCTGCTGCTGCGGCGGCGGCCGGAAGTCGTTAAACTGTTCTTGTCGGGCTGCCAGCGCTACTGCGGGAGCGAGTGCAGCAGCGCTTTGTAATGTAGAGGTAAGCTGGCTCGGCTCTATGATGGCCCAGCTACGCCACTGCCGGCGGGGCGGAGTGGAGGCAGTGGAGGAGGAGGGTGCCCTCCTGGAGGCGTTCTCTGCGCCTCCGCGGCCGCCGCTCCGCTCCGCTGTGCGGGCACAGAGTGCGACTCTGTGGTGTTGGGTGTCGTCCCCGTGCGCTCCACTGCTTGAGTCCACACGCGCCACACACGCCACACACTCCGAGGCGCCCAGCCCTGCATCCTGCGGCCTTCATGCCCTCTCTGCCCGCCCGCTCCCCGATTCCGATTGCCCTTTCTGATTGCATACCGATTATTGTTTCGTGATTGCGACCAGACTGCATACCTTGCCGGCTGGTGCAACGGGCCGCCGCCGCCGCCGCCGTGCCCGCATGCAGCCGTACGCGGCGTTGCATGCTCATGCATAAAGGAATCTTGTAAGTGAAGTGGAAAGAGCGGGGCGAGGGGGAAGGGAAGGGGGGCAGCACGTACAGCACACAGCATTTCTCCCGACGACATCCTCATTGTGGTCTCGCACGTCCTTGTTCACAACTTAGTCGTCGTCGTCGCAAAGAAGTCCAGCGCAGGCCGCCGGGGGCCAGCATGACTCTTGTGTTTAGCGCGAATCTGCTAACCTTTGCGAATGCGTTGTGCGAAAACGGGTTCACGGCGGCGCCCATCATGGTCCATGGCCCTTGAGGGGCGTGGTGGCGCTGACTGAGCGGAGGGCGTGCGTGTCACGCTAGGCGCCAGAGCGTGACTCACGGGCGGGCGATGGAGCGTGACCGCGAAGCGTGATGGGCACGCAGGGGGGCGGCTGGGCTGGGCAGGAAGAAGAGAGGCGCGAGCCAAAGTGCCAGCCGGGCGTTGCCATTTAGAAGCGGCAGCAGCAGCAGCACGAAGCGAAGCGTTTGTCTCGAGAAGTGTTGCAGCTCGGCTCCGTCTGGCCTGGCCGAGTGAGCTGCTACTGCCCGGCCGGTTAGCAGCCGACAGCTCTGCTATATAAGCGATCGTGGCGTTTGCTCTTTTTATTATCATTTGACCAACGAGGTAATTGGTCGTCATTATATAGCCAAGTAAACACGTTTTGTGCGCCC